AATTTGTGATAAAATACCCGAATATTTAAGACAAGAAATTAAATTATTTTATATTTTCGATGACTTTGGAAGATCTAATATGCTGTTTGTGACATTTGATGATATGGTGTATGGATTGGGATCTAATTGTGAGGGTCAGCTCGGGTTAGGACACAACACACCCATTCATACACCACTAGAAGTGCCGGAATTATGCCACAAAAATATTCATCAGTTTATCAATGGATATGACTTTGTATTGGCTGTCAATACGGATAATAATGTGATATTCAGTTTTGGTTGCAATAAATGCGGACAATTGGGAAGAGCTGTCGATGAGCAGGGATACCATAAACCAAATATAATATCATTTTTCGCGTCAAATAATTTAATTATTGCACAAATAAGTTGCGGTATATATCACACAATAGTCTTAACAACAAATGGACAGGTATACCAATGGGGATGTAATGTGTGGAAGTATAGCAATTGGGTTGATAGGAGTTCCCACGTAAAGCTGCACAACCATTCATTTTCGCGTCCAATTGAATTAACCATTGAGTGTAACGTTAGTAAAATAATTTGCAATAAATCGACATCCGTTGCCATTACTCACGATAACCAGTTGATTGTGTGGGGAATGATGGACAATAAAACACAATATAGACCTAGATTATTGGATACAAGGATTAATATATACAGTGTTTGTTTGGGTGACGACATGTTATATTTATTAACAAACGATGGGCTCATATATTTGTATGACCTAAAAAATGCAAGTTGTAAATTGTTAACACATTTGAAATTTAATCAAATCACACAAATATATTCGGAAATGTACCATGTCACTATAATTGTGGGCAAATCTGGTGATCAAATATATCAAATAAAATCCCTACAACCGGTTGAAACAAATTGTATATCCATAGCTCATTTCTATTCACATAAACTGCGACTAACTTTAAATACAATTAATCTGACCTTGTATGATCAACAAAATACTCTGAATGAATTGAATGTGAATACAGATATTTGTGGTAAATATGAGTTTATTGTTTAATTTTTAATTTAACAATTTTTAAGGAATAGCTAATTAATTATATATATGAATAAACATCTAAATAGAAACTACCAATCACTCAAATAATTTAAAGTTTAGAAAGTCATTTGGTGTGAAAGCTAAACTTGGTGAGGGTGGTTATGGACAGGTGTATAAAGTTAAAAATAAATGCGATAATAAATATTATGCCATAAAGAAGTGCAAATTAAATGGTAAAAATTTTTCATTATTTTGTATTTAAATTTTCAATTATTTCATTAGTTGTTTGAAAGATTTAACAGAAAAGGAGAAACAAAATGTTTTTAATGAAACCAAAAGTCTTGTGAAACTTCAGTCAGAGTTTGTTATTGAATACTACTATTCATGGATTGAATGCAATTGTCTTTACTTTCAAATGGAGTTATGTATCAATAATCTCAACAATGTTTTGGAAACTAAGAAATCATTGTTTAATCAATTGATGACTATTTCTGAGTTTTATATATCGGATCATTTATTTCGCAAACTTATTGAATGTGTGCAATATTTGCATCGAAATCATATCATTTATAGAGACCTCAAACCGGATAATGTGTTGATCACAAGGGATTGGAGTATAAAGTTATGTGACTTTGGTTTGGCTAAAGAAGTCTATAATTGCGATCAGTTTGTTACGTCTAAAGTCAAGCATACGGCAGATGTGGGAACTGTTGACTATATGGCACCGGAAGCCCAGACTAATGATTACAATCATTTGATAGATATCTACAGTCTATCCCTAATTGGGGCAAAGATTATTGGTTTCAATACATACGATATAATGGATGGAAAGTAAGCTCTGATTTTTATATAACTATTTATTCAAATAGACTATACAATTTTAATCAATTTAATGCAAATTATAATTTATCACATTTTAGGATTAATTTTATAGAAAAATATAATAAAGATGTGAATGAATTTATGCATAAAATGAATGCATTATTGGTGTCAATGGCTGTCAATAATTATCGCAAAAACGGTTCAAAAGATTGGAGGGAAAGACCCGAATGTTCGCACATTTTATCACAATTGCAGACATTTATGACAAATAAACCCATTATTGGAGACAAAGAATTCAATTCACTATTGAATGCTATTATTAATAGAAAATGTGATATAATTTACAAACTATTTATTCAAAGCAAACCGTTTTGTATAATTCATATGACTAATGGAAATATAACTAATGGTTAGTTATTTACATTTTAATTTTATTTAAAAGTTCAAACTTGGACATTTTTATATTTCTAGATACAACCGACATTAACGCAATTAACAAATCAATGTTTAAAACAACCAGGATGCAACGTAATGGGAAATCATATTCAATATATCAAGCTAAACATAAAATTTCTCAACAAATGTATTTTTTATACATAAAGGCAATAGGATTATACAGGAGCAATCTTTGCAATATACTGTGTATGTGGTAGATATAAATTGATAGTAAATTTCAACTCTGCTTTAATAAGATTGTGAGTACTATTTAGCAATATTACTGCCAAATTAAAACAGAGTTGAAAATATATTTTATAACATTACATTTTTATGGTTTCATATGCTTGACACAACTTTTTTAAAAATATTTTCATATGTATTATTAGCTTATTTTCGAAAGTACCTTGATGCATTATCTAAACATTCGGCTAAAAACGAGTGCAACTCATGGATAGAAAATAATTATATATTTATTCAAATGAAATTGTGTTCAGACGATGAATTGAAATTAATTTGCCATGATCTGGATCAATTGGGTAAGTATTAAAATTGGTTCAGTATTTACACTAAACACACTGTTCGTAATTTCCATGATAGTTTACAATAAAAAGCATATCCTTTAATATAAAAATGCTCATGTAACATACAGTATAAAGAATATTTTATATAATTATAGTCATTTAAAATTTATAACTGACATGAATTCTTTAAAAAATCTATCATTATACAATAAATTAATTAGTTCTAAAACATAAAAACTTTTTAATTAATTTAGTTAATTAATTAACTTATCCTAATACTTTATTTTATATGCAGGTAATTCACTAATTATTAAAACATATATGCATTTAAATGGTTAAATAAATAATCGCGTAGAAATAATCATGTCATTTGTGTCAATATTATTTTAAATAGTTTTATAATTGTTCAGAGTATATTCTGTATTATTATGGTTAAATAAATGTAAATCACACTATAGCTATAACTTGTGACTAAAAATAAAACTTAATTGATCATCACATTAATTAATTATATATAATATAATATTAATATAGTAACTTATATAACTTGTTAGTATCACATTAAACAAATATTATATAATAGATGTCAATATTTTAGTAAATTTATATCTACTGTATGAGTTAGAGTTGTTCATGTTCAATTATTATTTTTAGAATCAAATTTAAATTTATATATTTTATAAAGTTTTTATTTTTAAACTATATTTAAATAGTTTCATGTTGAATTAAATAATGTTAAATTCAATAGCAAAATAAATTATTATATGTTTGTATTTTACCAGAACAATACTCATTTCAAAAATTGAGCCTAAATTTTGATTTGAGAAAAATATATTTGAAGTCAATAGCAGAATGTAATACTGTACAATCTACTATATAACCAATTGCTTAACAATAATCATGTCATTTATATGCAGTACATGTATACTTAAAATCTAGTTTTAACCTTGTTTAGAGTAATTTCCCTGAAATGCTATTTACTTTTGCAAAACATAAATGAAATAAATATATACCTCCATATAATTTCACACAATTTATATTTATTTATTTTTTAAATGCTTTAAATTACTATTTTAATAAATAGTTTTCGTAAATATTTATTATAATTGTGGAAATATAGGTTTGTATTGTGTGTTAACACAATTTGTGATTCACAAATTGTGAACATAGACTTTATAAATTAAAACTAGTTGTGTTTAATATTTACAACTAAAATGTCTATCGTGTTAAATAACTATAAAAATTGTGATAAACTTTTACAGAATATACGACAAGAATATAAAATTAAATTATTTCATATGTTTGACGACCATATCGGACATAACATACTGTTTGTGACATTTGATGATTGCGTGTATTGTTTGGGAAGCAATACGTCGGGACGGCTCGGGTTAGGGCACAACACACCCGTCGAAAAACCCGTAGAAATGCCTGAATTATGCCATAAAAACATACATCAGTTTATCAATGGATCGGACTTTGTATTGGCTGTCAATACGGATAATAATGTGATATTCAGTTTCGGTCGCAATGATTGCATGTGGATTGGGATGGCTATCATAAACCAGACATAGTTATCTTGTCCACTATTGGCTTAATTATATCACAAATAAGTTGTGGTAAACAACACACAATTGTGTTGACAACATGTGGCCAGTTTTTGGGATGGGGTTGTAATGGGTCGCAACAAATTGATTGTGACCAAGCTAGATTTCATATACGCTCGCATTGTATTGCAATACTGTAATACACTGACTAGTTACATAATAACAAAACTATACCTAACAATACCTATTATGTGACTTCTAGAAAAAAACTAGAAAAATATTTCTCGAATGTTTGCATAAAGGCTTTTGTTAGGGGACTGCTATAAAAAGGGAACATTATGTCATGTATGGGAGAGTGAGCCCATAGTGAAACCACTATTATATGATCACTGGCTATGAGTGGCACATAAGACCAGTTTTTGACAGTGAATGCTATACCTTATGTAATGTGTATAGACGTGAATTGAATGTAAAAACTATTGAATTGAAATAATAAATAAAGTTGTGAATAAATTTGTGTATTTTAATAAACTGGACCCTAATGAACAAACTCAATTAACATTTAATTAAAAGACTACTTAATTTATTAATAATAATCTTGGTAAACGCGGACAACTATTTAAAATTAATTAAACTAGCTGATTTACGGTAACCATGAGCTGGGTATCAGTCGGATAGCCCCAGGAGCTTACAATACCCTTTGAATACAAAATTAGTAAAATTATGTGTTTTTATGAGACATCAGTTGCCATTAGCTGTGATGGACAGGTAGTTATGTGGGGAACGATATGCGATAAAACATTGAATGGACCAAGATTATTGGAAAATGTAACTAATATACATGGTGTTTATTTAGGTGAGCACATGGGCTATAATACGATATATTTGTTATCAAATCATAATATTATATATATTTATAATCTTGATATGTCAGAGTCTGTCATTGAATACTACATGGATTGAATGCAATTATCTTTACTTTCAAATGGAGTTATGTATCGATAATCTCAACAATGTTTTGGAAACTAAGAAATCATTGTTTAATGAATTGATGACTATTTCTGAGCTTTATATATCGTATCAAATGTTTCTTCAACTCATACATTGTGTGCTATATTTGCACAAAAATAATATCATTCATAGAGACCTCAAACCGGATAATGTGTTGATTACATACGACGGGTATATAAAGTTATGTGACTTTGGTTTGGCTAAAGAGGTCGATAGTATTGATTGGTATCGGATGTCTAAAACTAAACATACGGCAGATGTGGGAACTATAGAATATATGGCACCGGAAGCCCAGACTAATGATTACAATCATAAGATAGATATCTATAGTCTATCCCTAATTGGGGCTCAAATTTTTGGTTTTGATATCAACGATATAATTGACGGAAAGTATGCTTTCATTTTTATATAACTATTTAATGAAATAGACTATAATTTAATGCCAATAATAATTTTTCTCATTTTAGGATTAATAATACAGAAAAATATTATAAAGATATGAATGAATGGATGCATAAAATGAATGCATTATTTGTGTCAATGGCTGTCAATGAATATTCACGAAATGGTTCAACAGATTGGAGGCAAAGACCCGAATGTTCGCACATTTGATGACAATTGCAGACATTTATGACAAATAAACCCATTATTGGAGACAAAGAATTCAATTCAGTATTTGATATTATTGTCAAACGAAAATGTCATATATTTTACAATTTCCTCATGGACAATCATCCCATTTGTATAATACGAATGCCTATTGAAAACATATCTAGCGGTTAGACATTTCGATCCCTTTATTATTAAATTTGAATGTTTTAATTACAATATTATATTTGTATAATTGCTTAGAAATGGATGTAATAAATGACATGAAGTTTAAAGAGATTGACAGACAGACTGCAAAAATAGGATATGATATAAATTCCGTGAAAAATATAAATTCACAAAAAATGTATTCACTTTTACACCTTTATATTCATTTCATGGGTTAGTATTACTTTCAATAATTTATTTAAAAACACCAAATATTTTGCCATTCAAGTAGTTTTGACATTATTTATAAATTATTTTACTATAATAGACGATATGTTGAAAATGCATGAACTAGTCGTTGACATCGGAAAGTTACTTGATGTGAACTTGGTGCAATATTACTGGGCATGGATTGAGCATGAAAGTGTATTCATTCAAATGGAGCATTTGTGTCAGGATAAACTAGACACATTTATTACCGAAAACAATACTAATCTCAAAAATATGACAAAACTCAAACAACAAAACCTAGTATATTCAACTTTTAAATCACATTTCTGTGTAAATTGACCAGGAACAAATGTAATTACAGTCAGTTATTAACAAATTAACTGTCAATATGATGTATTTATTTTGTTTATTTATTAATATAATACTTTGTAAAGATTATAAAATATACGGTACATACTTTTAATAAACAATAGCTTAGTAATAATTATATCATTTGTTTTGAAATATCAAAAGTCTTGAATGTTTTAAGTGGTGTTATACTAGTATTTCCTATTAATAGAGCTATACTACATTCCAGTTTATTAAGTAAATAAAAAATTATATAAATTATCATTTTATAAAATTATTTTTAATTTTAATTTATGTCATAATTTATTTGAATTAATATTGGATTATATGTTTCACAGACTAACAAAATGTGTTCAATATTTGCATCAAAATCATATTACAGAGTATTCATTGAGATCTCAAACCGGATAATCTGTTTTTAGATAATATTCAAAAAATTGATTTCAAATTTTAAAACTTTTGTTTAGACAATGTGTTGGAATTAATTTGCAATAATCTGGATTAACTGGATAAGTATTAAGCTGATTATTTACCCCAAGCATATTGCATAATTAACCAACATAATTAACTTTATAACTTAAAAATTACAGCTTAAACATATCTTGTACTATAAAACTAACCATGTGACATTAAAAATATAATTATTGTAATTTAAAATCTATAACGTGAATAAATACATTGAATAGTGTATCATAATTTAAAGTTTTAAAGTATAAAACTTTATAATTAATTTTATTTCCTCCTAACGTTGCATAATAGTGCTAATTATATTATGTGATAGTTTATAAATTAATTGGTTGTAAAATACAGGTTATTCACAAAACCTTATAAATATAATAAATAAAATAATTAATTCCATTGAAATAATCATTTCACTTGTTTGTCTCAATATAATTTCAATGAGTTTTATAAATGTGTATATAATTATTATTAGTTAGTTAATTAAATTTACAATATTTTAAATATTATTTTCATTTTAGAAATTACTTTTAATTAAGCATTTAATATTATTCGTACTTATATCATAATTTAAGATTATTATTGTTTTTGTAGATTAAACTTCAATATTTGTACAGTACTTCCAAATTTGAAGTTCAAATCATCCAAGGTCATTCAATTTACTAGTTTATAAATATGACTATAAAGCTGATCAAGAGTAGTTTACTATCAAAAATTGAAACACTTAATTTTAAGTTTGTATTAATTTATATACAGTAACTAGCAACAATATTAAACAAATAATAGATGGCAATTCATGCGATAAATACTGTGTTTACGTCACATTTGTCTGTCATTTATTAAATGACTCATTTAAGTGTTCAAATATGACTGTTATTTTGAAATAGCATACAATTTTGGACATAAAACTTCATGTTTTGTTAGCAATACATTGCGTTTTAAAAATTTGTGATAAATAGTTGGTCAAACCTATTTTGTAAATATTGTAATTTATAAAAATGTCATCCGTTTTTAAAAACTATAAAATTTGTGATAAAATACCCGAAGATTTAAAACAATGCATCAAATTCTATTTTGTTTTCGATGACTCTATCGGACAAAACATACTGTTTGTTACGTTTGATGATATGGTGTATGGCTTGGGATCTCAATGAATACTCTGTAATATGATTTTGATGCAAATATTGAACACATTTTGTTAGTCTGTGAAACATATAATCCAATATTAATTCAAATAAATTATGACATAAATTAAAATTAAAAAAACAACACACCCATTGAGACACCGGTAGAAGTGCCAGAATTATGCCATCAAAATATACATCAGTTTATCAATGGAAATGACTTTGTATTGGCTGTCAATACGGATAATAATGTGATATTCAGTTTTGGTCACAATAATTGCGGACAATTGGGACCGCGTGTGGACAGTAAAGTACGTACGCCGCGTGGGGGTTTATATCATAAGCCTGGTACTATTTCATTCTTCCAATCAAATGAATTAAATATTCAACAATTAAGTTGTGGTTATTATCACACAATTGTGTTAACAACTGATGGACGCCTATTTGGATTGGGTTATGATACACGAGGGCAAATTGGTGGTGGCAATAGTGGTTACATCTTAAAGCCAATTCCTATTGAATTGTCTGACTATCAAATTAGTAAAGTTATATGCACTAGTCTATGGGCATCAGTTGCCATTACCAGTGATGGACAGGTGTTTATATGGGGACAGATCGGGTCTAGAATTATAAAACGCCCACAACTATTGGACAATGTATTTAATATACACAGTGTTTGCTTAGATGAGAGTTTCTATCAACTTATTTACTTTCTATCAAACGATGGATTCATATATTTCTTGGATTCATATGATTTTGGTGACAAATGTATGAATATATCAAAACATATTGTATTCAATGAACTCAAACAAATATATTCGTATAACAAGCGTACTACAGTAATTGTGGGCAAATCTGGTCATATAATATATGAAATCTCTTGTCAACAACCCATTGAAACCAATTATACATCATTTGATGATTACTTTTCACGTAAATTGCAAATCACTTTCAATACAATGTCAACACATAATCAACAAAATACTGTCCAATTGAATGAAAACACAGACATATGCGGTAAATAAGGAATTAAAGTTTTCGTATTTATTATATTCATAGAAATAAATATATACCGCAGAAGTATTAATTATATATATTGTAGTATTTTACAATAATCATTACGATATGAACTCTCACTCTTAGAAAATGTAACGTTAGACGAGGCATTTGATGAAATTCATAAACTAGGTGAGGGTGGCTTTGGACAGGTGTTCAAAGTTAAAAACAAATGTGACAACCGTTCATATGCAATTAAGAAATGTTCACTAAATGGTAATTAATTTATTTTATATCTGATATACAAATTATAGAGTAATTATTTTTATTTGTTTCAAAAGGTTTGACAGAAAAAGAAAAAGAAAATGTTTTGAAAGAAACGCAAAGTCTTGTGAAACTTCGGTCAGAGTTTGTGATTCAATACTACTATTCATGGATTGAATGCAATTGTCTATTATCACAATTGCAGACATTTATGACAAATAAACCCATTATTCGAGACAAAGAATTCAATTCAGTATTTGATACTATTGTCAAACGAAAATGTTACATTTTCTATGTATTACTAATGAGAAGCAAACCTCATTGTATAATCGGGATGTCTAATGAAAACATAACTTACGGTTAGACTTAATAACAAAAGTATATTATATTAAGTTTTAAAGTTTTAATTGCCGGATTTTGAAATTTTCAGATAAATTACAAATAAACACAATAAATGAGTCCATGTTTGAAACAATTAGAAGACAAGTTACCGACCATGAGTTAAATTTTGTTAAAATATACTCCGTGCGACATAAACTGACTCAACAAACGTATTCATTATTCAAAACGTATATTGAATACCGGTTTAAGGGTAAGAAATAACAACCAGATTATAGTAAAATAAAGCCACAGATTTAAATAAATTATGAATTATATTTTATTAAACTTAAAAACACGTCAAATTATTTTTAATAGATATGAAGGACATGAATGACTTCTTAATGGATATCCGGCACTCATTTGATGTAAAGTCGAAACATGTGGTCAAATATTACTCGTCATGGATTGAGCATCGTTGTCTATTCATTCAAATGCAATTATGTTCACAAAATGACCTGAATACATTTTTAACAAAACAATCAATTAACTTATAAAGAGTTATCAAGGACTCAGCCTTCTATGTCTTCTAAAGGATATTAATAATCAACTTGATTTGAGTTTTGATCTAGTTCATTTCTAACCTATATTAAATTGAACACAACGACTTACCAGTATTTTGGCGAGACTTTTATATAATACAGTATATAAAATAAGTATATTATAATAAGTATACACCATAATCAAAGCTCTCATTTCAAGGGATTTTAAGTGAGGTTCACATCACGCGAAAAATATGATAAGCAAATACTTGATAAGCAGATTATCAGCACACCTTTGATGATTGTAGTCAAATACTTAAATGACTAAAATATTTTCAATTGCTTGTTTACAATTGAAGTGAAAATCAAAATGTGTTTACAGCAAAATCAAATGCTTTCAGAATTTTAATCTGCTTATCAAGTATTTGCTTATATTTTTCGCGTGTATTCTGAAAGCATGTGATTTTGCTGTAAACACATTTTGATTTTCACTTCAATTGCAAACAAGTAATTGAAAATATTTTAGTCATTTAAGTATTTGACTACAATCATCAAAGGTGTGCTGACTAACTAAATAGTAAGTACCCTTAACTACATTTGCAA